AGTCTTTGAAAAATTCTTTAAAAATTTAGGCCTTAGGAAAAATCTTAAAAAATCCACGACTCTAGACCTGGTAATAGTTTTTTAAAAATTCTTAAAATATAAGCCTTATGGACCTGATAAAGGTCTTTGAAAATTTTTTAAGAAATCCACGCCTTTGGACCTAATAAAAGTATTGAAAAAAATTCTACAAAATCCAAGCCTTTGGACCTGATAAGGTCTGCGAAAAAAATCTTAAAAATCCACACTTATAGACTTTAGATTGTCTCTGAATAATTATTATTTTTAAAAATCGTCGTTTAGACCTGATAATGGTCTTAGAAAAATTCTTAGAAAATCCACGCCTTTGGACCTGATAAAATTTTTTTTGAAAAATCCAAGCTTTTGGACCTGGTAATGGCCTTTGACAAATTCGTAAAAAATCCTCGCCAAAGATTGTCTTTGTCCATGACTATTGACCCCCAAGATGTTCTTGAACATTTTTTAAGAATCCACATCAGTAGACTTAAGGCTGTTTTTGAAAAGTTCTTAAAAACCCGCCTTTTAACCTGAACATAGTCATTGAAAATTTCTTCAAAAATTGACCAGAAATTAGTCTTTGAAAAATTATTGAAAATTCAAGTATTTTGTGCAAAAAATTGAGTATTTTGAGCCTTTTAAAAATTTTTTGAGAATGTCTATGGACCATATTCTATGCATAAAATAACTCCCAAGATTCTTCAATGATGTCCCGACTTCAAAATTATATAGTCGGATCTATCCAACTTTTTTGGTTTCCCTACTGTCTGTATATTCCAATTGCAAAAGAAAATGTCGATTGGGAATTTTATTCAATGTTGTGGTACTGCGGAAGTGTTAGTTTGTGTGTTAGTGTGTTTAAATTGTTTTCCTCACACATGTGTGCACATATATTTCAATACGCAAAACCAACAATAACAAGCAAACATTTATAATGCGTATGAAAGTTCATGTTTTGCCAACGCCATTTTATGACTTTGAATTTTGTCCTTTTGCAAAAAAAAAAAACGGCACTTCATTGTCGCGCTACGAACCGCAATCTCCTCTACTTTTATTGTGGCCATTATTTGTGTGACATTTGGTGGCATGTTGTATATCTACATATCTATGTACATATATATGTGAGCGCGAGTGTATATGTGTTCAAGTGTAATTCTATTATGTGTGATTGTATTACTTTCCACTTTTGTAGAGCTATGTTTGACCTCCCCTCCCCACCCCACTTTTGCACCATGAAAATTTTATGAATGTCTGCGATAATGGTTTCTCTGGCGGATATTGTCACAGTGGCAAATGCAACACATGAGACGAACATAAATATATAAATTTCATTAGGATAAAATTTTACACACTTTACCATGACAATTCATAATTTCTACTTAAGGTCCTATGCCTCCTTGTCCCCTTCCCACTCTCCTACTGATACCACACTCATACCACCAACAGTGATATCCGATTCATCACCCTCTTTGCATTTTTTTTTCTTTAGAGGTCCTCTTTTTTCCTCGTTTCATGGTTTCCAAGTTTTTGTTGTGGCTTTCATATTTAATGACTCCCGAGTAGCATGAATTATACATTTCCCATCCTTTAAGTCTTAATGATATATATATATATATACATGTGTGTGAGTGTTGTGTGTGGTATGAGGTTGTGCGTGTGTGGTTTAAAAACCGATAAAGATAATTTCTAGCTTTAAATAATAATTTGTAATGCGTATTTTTATTTTCTTTCTTTTTTTTGGTCGCTTTCCCTTCTCCTTTCTTTTAGCTATTTGCATTTTGGGTTTAAAATAATTATTGTTTTTGTGCGGTTTAACTTTTGTAATGTCTTGAGAATGGGAATGTCTCTGAGGGGTATTTATGTGATTTATTACATTATAATTTAGTTTTAAAGCAATAATTTGTAAGATATGACAAACAGTGGTTGAAGAAAAAAATCACACTGTTTTTATCGGGAAATTCTCTAAAAGACCCACGCCTATTCATTCGATGGTGTTAAAAATTCTTAAAAAAATGCAGGGTTTTCTGATTTGAAGCTGGTTTTTCAGGGTTTTCCAATTTGAAGCTGGTTTTGAAAAATTCTTAAAAAAATCCACGGCTATTGTTGGTCTTTGAAATATTCTTAAAAAATCCACGGCTATTGTTGGTCTTTGAAAAATTCTTAAAAAAATCCACGGCTATTGTTGGTCTTTGAAAAATTCTTAAAAAAATCCACGGCTATTGTTGGTCTTTAAAAAATTCTTAAAAAATCCACGCCCATTGATTTGAAGGTGGTCTTTAAAAATTTCTTAAAAAATCCACGCCTATTGATTTGAAGGTGGTCTTTAAAAATTTCAAAAAAAATCCACGCTTATTGATTTGAAGGTGGTCTTTAAAAAAATCTTTAAAAATCCAAGCCCATTGTCCTGATGATGGTCTTTAAAAAATTCTTAAAAAATCCACGCCTATTGATTTGAAGGTGGTCTTTGAAAAATTCTTAAAAAATCCACGCCTATTACTCTGAAGGTGGTCTTTGAAAAATTCTTTAAAAAAATCCAAGCCCATTGATTTGAATGTGGTCTTTGAAAACATCTTTAACAAAATCCACGCCCATTGATTTGAATGTGGTCTTTGAAAAATTCTTAAAAATCCACGCCCATAGATTTGAATGTGGTTTTTGAAAAATTCTTTAAAAAAATCCACGTCCATTGCTTTGAATGTGGTCTTTGAAAAAGTTCTTAAAAAATCCACGCCTATTGACTTGAAGATGGTCTTTGAAAAGTTCTTAAAAAATCCACGCCTATTGACTTGAAGATGGTCTTTGAAAAGTTCTTAAAAAATCCACGCCTATTGACTTGAAGATGGTCTTTGAAAAGTTCTTAAAAAATCCACGCCTATTGACTTGAAGATGGTCTTTGAAAAGTTCTTAAAAAATCCACGCCTATTGACTTGAAGATGGTCTTTGAAAAGTTCTTAAAATAATCCCGCCTATTGACTTGAAGATGGTCCTTTGAAAAGTTCTTAAAAATCCACGCCTATTGACTTGAAGATGGTCTTTGAAAAGTTCTTAAAAAATCCACGCCTATTGACTTGAAGATGGTCTTTGAAAAGTTCTTAAAAAATCCACGCCTATGGACTTGAAGATGGTCTTTGAAAAGTTCTTAAAAAATCCACGCCTATTGACTTGAAGATGGTCTTTGAAAAGTTCTTAAAAAATCCACGCCTATTGACTTGAAGATGGTCTTTGAAAAGTTCTTAAAAAAATCCACGCCTATTGACTTGAAGATGGTCTTTGAAAAGTTCTTAAAAAATCCACGCCTATTGACTTGAAGATGGTCTTTGAAAAGTTCTTAAAAAATCCACGCCTATTGACTTGAAGATGGTCTTTGAAAAGTTCTTAAAAAATCCACGCCTATTGACTTGAAGATGGTCTTTGAAAAGTTCTTAAAAAATCCACGCCTATTGACTTGAAGATGGTCTTTGAAAAGTTCTTAAAAAATCCACGCCTATTGACTTGAAGATGGTCTTTGAAAAGTTCTTAAAAAATCCACGCCTATTGACTTGAAGATGGTCTTTGAAAGTCTTAAAAAATCCACGCCTATTGACTTGAAGATGGTCTTTGAAAAGTTCTTAAAAAATCCACGCCTATTGACTTGAAGATGGTCTTTGAAAAGTTCTTAAAAAATCCACGCCTATTGACTTGAAGATGGTCTTTGAAAAGTTCTTAAAAAATCCACGCCTATTGACTTGAAGATGGTCTTTGAAAAGTTCTTAAAAAATCCACGCCTATTGACTTGAAGATGGTCTTTGAAAAAGTTCTTAAAAAATCCACGCCTATTGACTTGAAGATGGTCTTTGAAAAGTTCTTAAAAAATCCACGCCTATTGACTTGAAGATGGTCTTTGAAAAGTTCTTAAAAAATCCACGCCTATTGACTTGAAGATGGTCTTTGAAAAGTTCTTAAAAAATCCACGCCTATTGACTTGAAGATGGTCTTTGAAAAGTTCTTAAAAAATCCACGCCTATTGACTTGAAGATGGTCTTTGAAAAGTTCTTAAAAAATCCACGCCTATTGACTTGAAGATGGTCTTTGAAAGTTCTTAAAAAATCCACGCCTATTGACTTGAAGATGGTCTTTGAAAAGTTCTTAAAAAATCCACGCCTATTGACTTGAAGATGGTCTTGAAAAGTTCTTAAAAAATCCACGCCTATTGACTTGAAGATGGTCTTTGAAAAGTTCTTAAAAAATCCACGCCTATTGACTTGAAGATGGTCTTTGAAAAGTTCTTAAAAAATCCACAGCCTATTGACTTGAAGATGGTCTTTGAAAAGTTCTTAAAAAATCCACGCCTATTGACTTGAAGATGGTCTTTGAAAGTTCTTAAAAAATCCACGCCTATTGACTTGAAGATGGTCTTTGAAAAGTTCTTAAAAAAAATCCACTCCTATTGACTTGAAGATGGTCTTTGAAAAGTTCTTAAAAAATCCACGCCTATTGACTTGAAGATGGTCTTGAAAAGTTCTTAAAAAATCCACGCCTATTGACTTGAAGATGGTCTTTGAAAAGTTCTTAAAAAATCCACGCCTATTGACTTGAAGATGGTCTTTGAAAAGTTCTTAAAAATCCACGCCTATTGACTTGAAGATGGTCTTTGAAAAGTTCTTAAAAAATCCACGCCTATTGACTTGAAGATGGTCTTTGAAAAGTTCTTAAAAAATCCACATCTATTGACCTGTATGTGGTCTTTGAAAAAAATTCTTAAAAAATCCACGTCTATTGATTTGAAGGTGGTCTTTGAAAAATTCTTTAAAAATCCACGTCTATTGATTTGAAGTTGGTCTTTGAAAAATTCTTAAAAAAAATCCACGCCTGTTGATTTGAAGGTTGTTTTTGAAAAATTTTTAAAAAATCCTCGCCTCTTGATTTTAAGATGTTCTGTTGTTGTTTTTGAATCTACATATTTATTGATTTACTTATTGAAAACTTATTTTTCCTTTTATTTTCAGATGTATCATCCCATACAAATGAAACCCGCCGATAGTGAAAATCGTAATGGTAAGTAGCCTTCAATTTGAAATAAATATCTTTTTTTTTCGATTCAAAATCATACAACGTAAGCCAATGCCATCCAACATCCCTTGCAAGGATTACTTTTTTCTAAGATTTGTTGGAAAATTCTCCGAAATGTCCTTTCCAAACAAATGAAATAACCAAAACTCTGCCGAAAGAAGAAATGCAAAAAAAAACTTTTTAAGTTTGCAATTAAAAAACTTTGGGAAAAAGCCTATAGTTTTTTTACGAACTCTCTCCCTCTCTATCATTCTAATGTATGTAAATACCAATAGGAAAAATTGCGAATATATCTTCATACAGATATCCATTCATTTTTCTTTACCAAAACAAGAGACAAAAAAATGGAAACATCCTCTCGAAAAAAAATCAACAAATTTACCCAAAAAGGCATAACAGAGGCAACAAGAAAAAATAGAACTATTTACCATCAACAGACTTATGGAGGAGCGTCAGACAGACAGACATATGACCGGGTACAGAACCTAGCAACGTTACAACCAACCAACCAGCAGGACAAACAAAATTTGTGGGTTCAAACGAAAAAAATTAGTTCTACAGCACATTCCATGACGTAGTTGCCGTTTGTTGCTGCTGCCGTCACTTTTGTTGTTGTTTTTGTTTGTTGGCCCAGAAATGTTTTTGTTATGGTTTAGTTTAGTCATTCGATACTCGGTGTTGTTGTTGTTTTTTCTTTCCAAGAATTGCCTTCCCTCTCTACTGCCCCTTCCCCCAAAAAATCCATCCATCTATTCGTCCATCCACTCGGACAGCCAGCCAGCAATGCCATGCTGCCTGCCCGTAGATAAATGTGTTGATGATGAAAGGGTCACATAAACAATGTGCCCAGGCCATACCACGAGCAAACACTTGACAAACTCTCACATTATTTGAACTTTAGTCAGCCGGCATCATCTCCTCTTCATCACACCCTTCAACTGCACACACACATACAGACACACAGAAACAGCGTTGCTTACAACATCAAGTGTTGCCGTCATGGTGTCACCAACACCCTCTATATGGTCGCCCGCCAGCCCCCACATAGCTTGGTTGGGTCACTTGACATGGGCCAAGAGTAGAGGGTTATTGTGAAAGAGGAAGAGGGGGATGAGGGTATCTAAGCACGAATTCCAAAAAGCATCCAAAACATACATCAACGCTTGGTGACACTGAGAGAGCGTCGCACTAAATCATATAAAGTGTGTTTATGGGGTTTGATTGTGGGGGGGAGGTTTGGTATGAAATACGGCTATAGTGTTTTTTTGCCGTTGTCCTGCCGCCAGAATGGCCTTTGATATTTCATAGATCGTTGTTGCTGGGTTTTTTTTTTTTTTTTTTTGTTTGACTGTTGCTAGCCTTTGTTTTTTGGCAATAAGTGGATTTTGGTGGTAGGATTTTGGGGACAATAAATAAACAAATCATAAAAAACAAATTCCTTTCGTCTCCAACCAAAAAAAAAAAAAAAAAAAAAAATAATAAATAAATAACTTTGACTTGTTCCGGGATTATAAAATATTAAAATTACCCTTTTGAATATTTTTTTTTTTTCGGGGAAAATTAAAATTAAATGTGGGGTAAGATACAGAAATAATGGTTTTAGAAGAGGAAGAATTATAGTGCATAATATATTTTGGATGGGGAGAGATGCTAGAAAGAGTTTTGGTAATCAGCCATTAACTAGGAAATAAAGGACTAGGAAATAAAGTCCTTCAGAGATGTGATTAAAGAGAATAAGCCAGAAGTTATAGTTAAGATATGAAGTCCTTAAAAAAATATTAATAAATTACCAGATTTTTAACCAAAACAGAATTTCTGAAGAAGAATTTCTGAATATTACTAGACTCAACGTTTTTACAGAAAGTCCCTAAAATCTATTCTGATGGAAACATCGATCATTTGGCATAAGGTCCTTATAGGTTTTCTAAAAATCAAAAAAAAAAAAAAAAATCCGGAAATAATAATATATCCCTATATCAAAAGATGCAGATTCTAAATTTAAATTTTCTTTTTTTTTAAATTTACTATTTTTTAGAATTCTCTTTGTTATGATGCTATTCAAATTCTAGTCATTTGTTCTAATAATATCAAGGAGTCCTGAAATGTCGATATAATGAAAAGTATATATTTTTTTTGAAATAAAAATAACAAACTTTATAATATTCTTAAAAATTCACGATTCTGGGTTTGGAGAACCACAAAAAGGGTTTTCTAAAATAAGTTGACCCGAAGATAGTCTTTAAAAAAAATCGTTAAAATCCACGCCTATTGACCCTAAAGTTGTCTTTGAAAAAATTTAAAAAATCCATGCCAATTAACCCGAAGGTTGTCTTTGCAAAATTCTTAAAAAATCTACGTCTATTGATCTGAAAGTGGTCTTTAAAGAATCAATGCCTATTGATTTGTAGATGAACTTTGAAAAAATCGTAAAAATCCACGGCTATTGATTTGAAGTTGATTTTTGAAAAATTCTTAACGGATATTCCCTGAAGATTGTCTTTGAAAAATTCTTAAAAAATCTATGAACAATTCTTAAAAAACCCGAAGGTGGTCTTTGAAAAATTGCTAAAAAACCAACACAAATTGAGCCGCAGGTGGTTTTAAAAAATTCTTAAAAATCCGAGGCTATTGATTTGATGGTGGTCTTTGAAAAATCTCAAAAAAAGCCTATTGCCCGAAGGTGGTCTTTGAAAAAGTCTTAAAAAATCCACGCCTGTTGATTTGAAGGTGGTCTTTGAAAATTTTCTAAAAAATCCATGCCTATTGATTTGAAGGTGATCTTTGACAAATTTTAAAAAAATCCTCCTTTGACAAATTCATAAAATTCCACGGCTATAGATTTGAAGTGGATTTTTTTGAAAAATTTTTTACAAATCCACTGATATTGCCCCGAAGATGGTCTTTGAGAAATTAAAAAAAAATTGAGCAATTCTTAAAAACCCCAAGGTGATCTTTGAAAAATTACTAAACAAAACCCCACGTATATTGAGCCTGGTAAAAAAAATACCACGCCCATTGACCTGATGATGGTCTTTGAAAAATTCTTAAAAAATCCACGTCTTTCGACCCGAAGGTGGTCTTTTAAAAAATCTTAAAAAATCCACGCTTATTGACTTAAAGTTGGTCTTTGAAAAATTCATAAAAAAAATCCAAGCCTATCGACCCGAAGGTGGTTTTTGAAAAATTCTTAAAAAAAATCCACGCCTATCGACCCGAAAGTAGTGTTTGAAAAAACCTTAACAATTCTTAAAAAATCTACGGCTATTGGTTTGTAGGTGGATCTTGAAAAATTCCTAGAAAATCCCCACCTATCGACTTGAAGGCGGTCTTTAAAAAATTTGAAAAAATTGACCCGAAAGCGGTCTTTGAAAAAAAAATTAAAAAAAAACACGCCTATTGATTTGGAGGTTGTTGGTTGTCTCCCTAAAAAATTCTTAAAATATCCTCGCCTGGCGATTTGAAGGTGGTCTTGAAAAAAATTAAAAAATTCCAAGCCACGTTTTGGTTAGGGTTTACTTTCTAAATATATTTTTAAATACCCCAATAACCATTCAGACCAATAAAAATTGGACGCACAGTCTTTTTTCCGAATTTTGAAACACATTAAATCACAATAATCCCAAAAATAGTGCTGAATTGTCCTGGTGTCATTATACGAGATTCATGATTATTAAAAAATTTTACCTTTTGGAAAACCAAAATTTGAGAAAATCAAAATCGTTCAAAATTTTGACCATAAGTAGGTCCTGGAAACTGGTAGAGGTTTGATTGGATATTTCTGAGTTTGTAGGATATTTACGACTTGATCTCAGAATAAATAATCGATTTCGGGGCGAAAAGCAAGATCTTGGGTTGATAAACCAAAGACCTAGTTACTATAAGTACTCTGGCCGTCACAAGGATTTTGAAAATATCTTTACTTTACCTGGATAAGACTCTGCAAGGATACTACTATAAGAGGCTGTTATAAGTACTCAAGCAAGGGTGCTACAAGTATATCCAAGAACATCATACCAATAGACCTATATCCAACAAGATATAACTGCACGAGAACTTAATAACTTCTCAAGCAAGGTTCCACAAGGATATGCAAAGAAACCACAACAAGAGACCTTAATACTATCTCAAGCTAGATCATATCAAGATCAAAGACTTAGAGACCTGAATAAGTACTCTGCGATTCCAATCACCTGAAAAATATGTTCGTGTTTGGGAATCCATTCCTGCTAACGTTAATTTTGGCTTTTTAAATCATTCAGCTCTTGTGTGGTGAATTCCAAAGAGAAAGTATTTACAGGTTCTATTTTCGAACTCAGTCTTAGTTGGACAAAATTTCGCAGTATTCAATGTTTAGGCCTTCTGATAAAAAACCTACAACTTATTAGTTCAAAATAAATTGCAATAAATGTTAATTTTTATTTTATAAATCCTACCCACCAGAAATCTCTATGTCCCAAATCGTTTCCAAACTTTTTCAAAATAACGTTAGCCTTTGTTCAGTCAATACCTTTTTAAACAAAATACTCGTTGTAATTAACACTCTTTTAAAGTTAATTATGACGGCATAGGCTCTTAGTTGTAATATCCCCCTCAGACCCCCTTCCCACCCCTTTTGAAATGAATGCATCGTTGCATTACCAAATGACTTCAACGGCAGTGGTGGTGGGGGACCAAAATGAAACAAACACACACACCGCTACCTCCATTGGGCATCTCACAGAGCAGTAATTCGCACAGCATTGATAATAAATGAAACAAGAACATTTAAGACGTATGAATCAGCATTTGAAATGCATGCAACACATAGCGAGCATATATTCGGACGTGCCATATACATTTCTAATTTCTGTTGTAATACAATATTCGGCAAGGTGTGTGTGGATGTGGGGGGTTGGTATGATAAGTGGGTTTAATAAAAATAATATTTTTTTGATCAATAAAGTTGAGGTTTTCTTGGTGGAAGTTTTAAAAAGGTTAAAAGAAAG